TAGTGGTAGCGGCAGCTCCTACTCAAAAGCCTCCCCCCCCCAGTATGCAGAACCCCCTCCCTTATCCGTGGGTGGCCTCATTTCCTTGCCCTGGTGGCCAGGCACGGCCGTCAGTTTTGCCATCGGTATCCAAGGGGGTTCTGTAGTTGGAACATTTCATGAAACGCTTTCTCGGCAGTGACTCCCACAGGGAGACGACAGCGCCAGTCTGAGCCTCGTAGGAATCATCCGGAAATTGGCGTTAAAGTCAAAGCCTAGGTACTGGAGGAGGTGAGATAATAAGGGGAACTGGGAGACTTCTGCCCATACGCAGAGAGTTTTTCTCAACCAACTGAGTGAGCGTGAGCAGGCCTTGCGCACTTCCAAGTAGGTTTTGATCCTGGCCACCTTTCGTTTTCGGAAGCAGCTTCCAATCTAAACCGGCCCGGGGACCCATCTGGGCCTAGTGAGGAGTCACCTGATCAAATAAGACAGGCGCCGTGCACGTGTTGTCCACATGTGGGTCTCCTGGGCAGAGATCTGTCGGGAATTCGTGGCCCCTGGACCCAGGGTTGAAAGAGGCTAAAGAGGCAGCCAGACCCCTGAGGGAACCAATGAGAAGGCAGGCGAGTGAGCGGCGGCCTATGGGGCATGGGCGTGGGGTGGCTGCTGGCAGGAAGTCCTCTCTGGGTAGACGGAGCCAAGAGTTGAATGCTTGGTCCAAATCCCTCCATGACCCCAAGCTGGCAGCACAGCTAGGCAGATATTTTGGGTTTGTCGGCTGATCTCTCTCCCCCCCCTTCTCTCGGAAAAAAACAGACTGGCCCTGCAAATCTTTTGGGTCAGGCTCAGCAGGAGATGCCAGGAGGCGACACGGCCTTGGCTCTTCTGGGAGGACAGGAGGGTCTAATGGTTAGAGTGGGAGGCGGGAAGCAATGCTAGGCCTTCTTTCCCCAGCACCGAGCAGCAGTTTCTGTGGGCTCTACCATGAATTCCTTCTTGGGTGTGTGAAACTTCCCACATTCTTCTTCTACAGGGAAGCACTCGGTATATGTTCAGAGGTACTCTTATTTCTTCATGGGATCCATCCGGTCCTGGCTAACAAGCTACATAGCTGGGATTTGGTTGTCCGGTTTTTTTTAGTCTTGGTCACCTCTATCCTTGATAGACCCGTGTCTTTTCAGAAGAGAGGGGTGTTCTGCACATGCTCAGAAGCTCCCTCTCCTTAAGGTCCATTTCTTACAAGTAAAACCCTGCCTCCCCCGGTGAGGCCAGGGTTGGCTAGAGGTCCGCTCTGTACAAGCTCAAAGGCACTGTTCCCTTGGTTCCGATATTTCTGAGACGAAAATAACTGTCTGACGAACCACAGCTCCACGCCTTCAGGCCAAAAGCAGAGGTGGAGGGGCTGAGCCTAGGGTACACATCCTTTGCCCCTTCCCCCTCCCTCCATTCATCCCCTGGCAGCGCTTGCTGAGTCGCCGGCACGTGCTAGTTTGTGGGGCCGATGCCAGTCGTCTGTCACTGCTCTGGTTAATGTGGCCCACTTTCTGAAAATAAGCCTTGGCCTCTGCCTCCCTCCCCACCCCACAAAGTAACCTGACTCAGTGAGCCTCAGGACGGGGTGGGATCTCAGCTCACTCCAACACATCACTGCCCAGCCGTCCCACCAGGGAGTTTGGGCACCCTCCGATTTTTGGGGAGGGGGTGTGTGCGTCTCTCCACCTTCTCATGCTCCTGGTTGCTTTCCGTGGTGAGAACGACTTTGTTATGGGTTAAATCTTTCCTTTCTCTCCCGCCTCCTCCCCTAATTCTCTGGGGAAACTGCCAAGGAGCTGAAATCAGTGCCAGAGGGTGAACTGTGCCCCGGTCCAACTGGAAGAGGGGGCACTTTTCCCTTATCCCTGGTAAGGATGTGGGTGTGGGTGTTAAGTGCCGTCAAGTCTTTTCTGACTTATGGCGGCGACCCTGTGAATCCGTGTCCTCGAAAACGTCCTGTTGCTAACAGCCTCCCTCAGGTCGTGCAGACGACCGAGTCCATCCATCTCTCATGTTGGGCCTTCCTGCTGCTTCCCACTTTTCCTTGCATGACGGTCTTTTCCAGTGCCTCTTGTCTTTTCAAAGTACGATAGCTCCAGTTTAGTCATTTCAGCTTCTACAGAGAGTTCAGGCTTGATTTCATCTGGGACCCACGTATTCGTCTTTTTGGCAGTCCACGATATCCGTAAAACTCTCCCCCAACACCACGTTTCAAAGGCATCAACTTCCTCCCCCGACAGTGTTCTTCATCGTCCAGCTTTTACACCCATACATAGTCATGGGGAACTCCATGGCATGGATCATCTTGATCTTGGTTGCTAGTGACGCATCCTTACACTTAACACAGAGATGCCAGCGTCAGGCTGAAGGGGTTTCAGAAGACTGCTATGATAGCTAAAGTTACCTGGATAAACACAATAATATGAATAGAGAAGATTGAGAACAATGTCAACTGGACTTATTAGGGGGGGTGGAGCATTGCGGGAGGCCACAAGAAGGGGAGGAGGAGGGGAAAGAAAGGGATATATGGAGAATATAAAATGTATGAATGTAATGATATTTGTTACATGTTTGATATATCCAAACAATAAAATGTCTTTAGAAAAAAAAGAAGACTGCTATGATAGGCACTATGCACTGTGTGTCTTTCTCTGAGTTTATGCAGAGTTTAGTTCTTGTGGCTTAGTTCTGAAGACTGCTATGATAGGCACGATGCACTGTGTGTCTTTCTCTTAACTGCAGAGTTTAGTTCTTGTGGCTTAGTTCTCGTGGCCCTTTCTTACGTGCCCAGGGAAATGCTGATTGCCACTTTGAGGTCAGGAAGCCATTTTCCTCCAGGCCAGTTTGGCCGGGGATCCTGGAGGTTTTTTGTCATCTTCTGGGCATGGTCACGGGCGGTGGGGAGGGGAGGTATTTGTGAATTCCCTGCACTGTGCAGGGGTTGGACTAGATGACCCTGGAGGTCTTCCGTGAGGCCCCACTGGTGGACCTCCTGATGGCATCTGGTATTTTTGGCCACTGTGTGACACAGAGTGTTGGACTGGATGGGCCTTTGGCCTGATCCAACATTGGCGTCTCTTATGTTCTTATGTCCCTTCCAACTCTATGATTCTGTGATTCTACTTCTAGTACCTATTTGAAACCCAGTGTTTGGGTAGCAGGACCATTACCACAAATGGAGGGGGTGGGATTTTTTTACTCCCCCACCTTTTCTTTGGAACTACAAGCCCAGTGTGCCTGGCATGGAGGACCACCAGTTGGAAACCAGAAAGTCGTGATCAAGCTGCGCTGGGACTGTCTGGGGTCCTTTGGCTTCAGCTACCTGAGTGCCAATACACGGATGACAAGAACACTAACGTAACATACCAGCTAGCTGGTGAGGATTGCCAGAATACTGTATGTGAAACTGCTCTGTGGTGTTGTGATTTCGTCCATCTGATTGTTGTGAATGGGCTAACCGTGATGGTTTTACCTAGAGAGTGAGGGATTGGGAACTGGACAAAAGAACCCTTACAGTCCATTCATGGGCAGTGAATTTTCGTGAATGGGCAATTCGCTTGCCAGAATGATGTTTGTGCCAGAAGCCAGTGCTTTGCAGATGGTTTGAATGGACGGAGACGAAGAAAGACAGAGAATGGAGTGTTAGCAAGAAACTAGGATGCAGCCATGGGACGGGGGGGGGGGGGTAAGCACACATCACTCTCTGGGAATCTGAGCAGCGGGTGGTAGATTTGCCACCCACTGCTGGAGTGCCTGTTTGCTTCCGCTGTGCCCCGCCTTGCAAAGAAATCAAGTACAAAAAGATCACTCTGTTTCCAGTTGCGTCCAGTGCTTCCTCTAAGCTACACAGTCCTGTGTGAGCAAAAAATCTACTTTGTGAGCTACTGGCATAAAAGCCGTGAGTGACTTTGCTACTGCAGAAATTAGTTGGCTCTGGGGCCATCCGTCCTGAGCGGAGACAAAAATGCGTGAGCCGGAGGCTAAAAAACCGTGAGCTAGCTCGCACTGACTCAGCTTAGGGGGAACACTGGTTGCGTCCTCTCCGTCCCAGGGAAACGAAATCTGGTAACGCTGCCCCTCCCCTGCTCAGAAGTTGGGAGCGCATACCAGTTATGGTTACCAACCTCAAGGGGCGGCCTGGGGCTCTGCCAGAATGGCAACTGATTTCCAGACTACAAGAGATTGGTTCGCCTGGAGGAAATTGATGCTCTGGAGGGGAAATTCTAGGATGCCAAAGAGAAATGATATCGCTGCTGAGCTCCCCCCTGACTCCCTGAACTCAGCCCTCCATCGGCACCACCCTCAACCCTCCAAGAATTCCCCAAGCTGGAATATGTCATTGCTAGGGTGCCTGTTGTGGGGAGGGGAAGGGAAAGGAGTCTGTAAGCCTCTCTGAGACTCCAAGTGAAGGGCGGGGTATAAATCATAAGAACATAAGAGACGCCAATGTTGGATCAGGCCAAAGGCCCATCCAGTCCAACACTCTGTGTCACACAGTGGCCAGAAATACCAGGTGCCATCAGGAGGTCCAGCAGTGGGGCCAGGACATTAGAAGCCCTCCCACTGTTGACCACCCCCCCCAAGCACCAAGAAGACAGAGCATCACCTGCCCCAGAGCCCCTATCTATACCTTGTGGCTAATAGCCACCGATGGACCTCTGCTCCATATGCTTATCTCCATATGCATATCCAATCTCTTCTCCTCCTTTAGGTAGTCTTAGTTAAGTAACCAACGACCCCTTCCTCTTCTTTTAAAGGTGGCCATGGTGGAAGTGCAGCTCGAGGACTACAACTACCCCCGGGAACTGCTGGTTGCTTTCAGTGCCTGCACGACCGTGCTGGTGGCCGTCCATCTCTTTGCTCTCATGGTGAGCACCTGCATCCTGCCCAACATTGAGGCCGTCAGCAACATCCACAACCTCAACTCGGTCAACGAGTCGCCCCACGAGCGCATGCACCACTACATCGAGCTGGCCTGGGGCTTCTCCACCTCCTTGGGCATCTTCCTCTTCCTGACCGAGGTGGTGCTGATCTGCTGGGTTAAATTCATGCCCATAGGCCGGGTTTCCTCAGGCAAGAAATGCTGCACCGCTGCTCCGATCCTGGCCAGTAGCGTTGCGGCCCCGACGGTGGCCGCTCCGGACAACTCGGGTTGGAACGCCGCCTTGGCCTCGACCGTGATCATGGTCCCGGTCGGTGTGGTCTTCATCATCTTTGCTTTGCACTTCTACCGGTCCCTGGTGGGCCACAAAACTGACCGGCACCAGCAAGAACTAGAGGAACTCAACCAGATCAAGTATCAGCTGGATGGGGAAGCCACGGCACTGCAGGTGGTGTGAGGTCCGCCGGCGTTGGCTTGGAAGTGAATCGGCTGGGGTTTTTTGGAGGCAGCTAGTTCAGGAGGAAAAGGAAAGGCTAAGAGAGGGCTTTACTGATGCTTTGACTCGGTGGGGATACAGGGAAGGAACTGGTACTGTTGGAACGCCACCCAAAAGCTATTGGGATCTTTTTGAAGGGAGGATTTCTTCGCCATTTTGCAAAATTTACTTATGCCACCCCCACCCGAGGAGAGAGAGGCAAAAGGGTGTTTGATGGACAGAGGTTTGTTGAAGCAGATCCTACCTGGAAGCAGCTGTGGACATCTGAATCCGGCCCAAGCTTCCACAACTGCGTCGTTGGGGGGTGTTCTGATGACGCAACAAAAAGTCAACTTGAAGCTGCCTCCAAGAAAAGAAGTGAAATTTGTCGGCAGGAGCGGAGATGGTGGCTTGGCTGGTTGGGATGCACTGTGTCCGTCCCCGCCCTGGTTATACTCCTCGTTGCTGTTTTTCTGCAGAGCTCAGCAGATGCACTTTTATGTCCTCCTGGTTACATTCCCCAAAAGAAGAGGGAGAAAAGGACCTGGATTATCTTACTCACATGAGCTGTAGGCTTTGCAGTGGGAGGGAGGTTGAGGAGGGAGAGAACTGAACCGGTCACTTCTTTGCATTTTCGCCTCCTCTTTTATCATGTGGGAATCTGTCCAGGGTAATGGCCAGAAACTGAGTACCCGCTGGGCCACTACTGTCCCGCTTACGGGGTTTCTGAGGACTCTGTGACTTGAAACAGGAACCTCAGAGCTCGAGGCTGGACCTGGGCTGTAGAGAAAGACACACGTGTAAAGGTGAGCTTGCCGTGGAAGCATGCCGATGTGACGTGAGTCCAAGATTGGGCTGCGGAGGGGGGGGGAAGAGATCCATTTTCCTGCTTTTAGATTTTGCACACTGCAGATTGGCTCGCTCGAGTCACAAAACTACCTCCCCTTTCTCAACGCTGGGCCCTGCACGTTGCCGACGGGTGTCCGCCAGTCGCAAAGCCACTCCCTTCCCCTACTTTGCTAGAGAAGATTTCAAAAATGTCTAAAAAGACGGGTGAATACGCTGAACAATAACAAGGCCGGGCACGCTTTAAGCAGGGTGACTATGTCAGCGCTATGCCAACAAAATAATAAAAAAAAACAAAGCAGGAGATCCTGTCTGGAACGCGGCAAGAGGGGCAGCAACCCCCAACTCCAGAGCCAGAGACATGCGACAGTACATTGGGTAGCAGAAAGTAGCATTTGCCCTGTAGCAAAACCAAAACCAAAAACTTTGCACCTGCTCCTGTTTCGGGCTATGGCTGTGCGCAGGCCCAAGTGGACTTCTTGGTCCTGCATGTGTGCTTAAGCCTCGGAAGCGAGTTCAGGCACAAAAGTCCCCAGCAACCTGGGTCCCTGTGACTGACAGATAGTGGGAAGCCCCTGGACTGGCCGGACCCAGTGCTGGTACCAGGAGACGGCTGTTGCCTTTTTGTGGCCAAGGGAGCCGTCTGCCCCTGAGGCTCTGGCGACTGGCTTCAGCACTGTATCCGCCAGGTCTGGATTCGGTGACAGCTGCCCGTCGCCCCAGCTTTGGCTCACAGCATACTCTCAGCATCCGTATCACGCCTGGCTCTCCCACACCGATTCTAGTAGGACCGCTGAGAATCACCACAGGCCCCTGGACAAAGACTGCTTCTGCTTGGCCCACTCAGACCGCGCCCTGAATACTGTATGACAGCCGACTGCACGACTTGCCCGGCGCAATGGACCGCCGAGGTGACCAGACCCTCCAGAATTTTGTATTCTTATCCCCCCACCCCGCAGTCCTGCTTAAAAAAGCATCTGAGGGGGGCAGTTTTGATAGGGGAAAACAGTTTATAGGGGTAGCTGGAACCCCCTCTGCCGGCAATGCATCCCAAATCCAGCTGTTTTTGATGGTCAGTTGCACGTCGGAGGAGCCTACTGCAGGACTCCCATGCGTTCTGCGCTTGCAGCAAAGTTAGTGGCTGCAACCACCATTTCTTTATGTAGTTGTGTCACTCTACCTTTAATTGTATTACCACCCCTGGGAAGGGGGGAGGAGGGAGTTCTTTGCAGTCGCCTAGCAACAACAGGAAACATTCCCCCACCAGAGAGAAGAATGTGCGGTAGTTGCTAGGTAACAGCAACCTATTCTCTTTCTCCCAGAATGGTTGGTGCAATTGAGGATGCTGCCCTCTGGTCATGGGGCACTTGGTTACTGGCCACAAGGACAGTGTACGTGCATGGGGGGGAATAGCATCCTATTTGCTCCCAATCCAGCAGTCAGATTCTTAGAGCTGTCCTTGTCTTTGAGATATCAAGCAGGGAGTGTTTTCAAGATGACTCACGTCCTTGGTGTTTGGTCTTGTTTCTATAGAAGGACAGTTCATTCCTAGCTGTCGGGCTGAAGGGAAATGGTGTATTTTTGTTGGGCAAGGAGGAAGCAGAGGGCAGAACAACATCTGAGGCTGAGCCACGCACGGCTGTTACCATTCTTTCGCCGCAGGGTTTGTCCCTTGGGTTGTCACCAGAATAGCTTCCCACGTACAGAGGCACACAAAAGCCGGGTGACCAGACTTCCTGCAGCTGTTGCCCCAAATGCTTTTATGTTACTAGGAACTGCTGGACGTGTATCCCTATGACACGAGCTTTCAGCCAAAGTCGTCTTTCCCTTAGGGTTGCCATACTCCCAGGGATGCTGGGGAAGTGCCTCCTACTCCTGGGCTCCAGGCCGCCCCCCCGCCCCCCGGCCTCTTCACTCCAGCAGCACCAAGGGGTGGGGAGCAACGTCACATAACATCACTTCTGGTTTGTAGATGTAAATGACACCATAGTGCTCTAGGAATTCACACCTCCCTGTGGTTTTTTTAAAAAACCCAACCCATAGAGTTAAGCAGATTCCTAGAGCGCCAGGATGTCACTCCTGGGTAAAAACCAGAAGTGATGTCAGAATGTTGCACATCGTCAACGCTCCCCCGTCCCCAACTCTCCCTGGCCAGGAGGGCTGGCTCGAGGTATTATGTTGCCCAAGCAAGGTACACCTATCCACTCCTGGGCCTGCACTGCAATAGCTCGGTTTGAAGCCAGCCAGCAGCTACATAGGCTCAGGTGGGGGGGGGGTGCCAGTCACCACCCATGACTGACTGCTGGCTGGGCACGAGCTGAGTCCCTGGGGTGCGTCGGCACCCTCCTTGTACCATCTTAAGCAGTTGCCAGAGTGTTTCGGCCACAGAACTGACTGGGCTGCCACCTGAGCCCTGCTGACTTCTTTAGAGATGTAAAATTTCTGGAAATTTTGAAGCTCGGAAAAAACTCCGGGTTTTTTCCAGTTTTTTTCGGGGGGGAACGGAAATTTTCGGAAAAATTGAAAAAATGCTACATTAGCATTTATTTTGTCTTTTCCAGATTTAAAGTCATTCTGTTACTTTAGGAACATAAAATATGACTATGGACATTTTTACTTGGCATGAAATTATCACAACTAGCATATTAAAAATATAGTGTACCCAAACAATTATTACAAACAAAATACCCACCCACATGCAAAAACAAAACTGAAACCTTTTTATTCATCATGTTAAAATAAAACGTTCCATAGTCAATTTTTTTATTATTTTATTTTATTTTTTCAATTTTTCGGAAAAAAACAAAAAAGGCTTCAGGAAAAAAACGGGGGAAAACTGGTTTTTTCCCGAATTTTTCCATTTTTTTTCCGGGCCTTCACATCTCTACTTCTCATAAGTAATTCTGTTGCTTAAGAAATGCACTGCAAGAGGCCTTTGAAGCGGGGGCCAAGCCTGCCCTTGGTGCCTTCCCGGTCTGGAGCAGGGACAGATTCTGCCCTCCTGCCTTCCTTTTTGTCCTAGCGCCAGTTGACCTTGTTATCTAGAACGCCGCAAGAGCTGCTGGGAACCAGACCAGCCACATTTGCATGGCACCATCTTGCATTCCGGTTTTTTTTGGGGGGGTCACGCTAGCCGCCACACAACCCGGGAACGGGGAGGGAGGGGGAGTCTTAGGGGAGCCGCTCACTGCCAGCTGGCCCCATTTGAGTCCAGGGGCACCTCAGAGCCCAACCGGACCAAACCATGACTGAACACCGAGGTGCCTCTGGATTCGATTCCAGCTGTTCTACTGCAGACCGACACGGCCACCCTCTGAAACTGTCGTCATGCCCAGCGGGTGATGCTTAGTGGAGGAGAGAAAGCTGCATAGCTGACGCCGATAAGAGATGTTGCTGAGTATTTCTTGGGAAACCACATTTGCCGGAAGTTCAGCACGCTCTGGTATTGAGGGGTGGTGCCGCTTCTTTGGTGTAGTGGTTTGGTGTCGTGGTTAAGTGCGCGGACTCTAATCTGGGAGAACCGGGTCTGATTCCCCACTCCTCCACTTGCACCTGGCTGGATGACCTTGGGCAAGCCGTAGCTCTGATAAGAGCCGTTCTCGAAAAAGAGCAGTTTCTGTCAGAGCTCTTTCAGCCCCACCCATCTCACAGGGTGTCTGTTGTGAGGAGGGGAAGGGAAAGGAGTTTGTAAGCCACTCTGAGACTCCCTTGGGTAGTGAAGGGCGGGGTATAAATCCAATCTCTTCTTCTCTTCTCTCTTCTCCTTAACTGCCCTAGCCGTGCCTTGGCGTAAAAAAACAAAATCCCCTTCCAGCAATCACTGTTTTAGTTTATATTTTAGCAGTGTAAGAATGGGGCTCTGTGCACACAGGTGGTCCTCGCTTTTTTGGTTCGGTACACTTACACATGTATTTCTGGTCTGTCCTCTGCTGACGGAGTCACAGATAACAACTTCTGCCAACTTGTATTCTGGATCTGTTCTTAAAATTAAAAAAAAACATTTTAAAGAAAAAAACCAAGCAAAAGTTGTTTTTTTTAAAAAAAGTTTTGCTGAAATGCCGTGAAAGATCACAGACTTGGTAGGTGGTTTAATTCCAAAGTTAAGAGTCCTTGGTTAGAGGACCTGAGGAGGGACT